TGAGATTGGGCTCAGATAGGTCTTATGTATAAGAAGAAAGATCAAAATGTCTTTATTGGAAATGAGTTGGTTTAAAATACCCAGGTGATTGTGAGGGCCCAGGAATCTACTGTCTGTATTATATTTCAATACATCCAATATAGTGTTGTGTAACAAATGACGTCAATGAGAATAATTGGAAAGAAATTAAACATTTGATGCTTTGATCTACTGTAACTATACTTTTATAACTATGAGCATATCATTTGCTGTACCTTAATTTGATTTTGGATTAATATGAGGATTTTCTTTTTTTATTGTTATATTTTTTTTTTTAATTTTATTGCTTAGCATTTATATGTTTGCCAATACATGTAATGCAATATATATTTTAAATACATCTGAAATATGTACATGTACTTCGTAAATGTACTCTTACAACATGTTTTTTACCTGGTATAATTATGTACACAGAAACTTGCAGTACATTTTAATTTTAATTGTGCTCTATTAAAATGTACTCTTCTTAATTATTTAATGATATTAAATGTATACTCTTCTTGATTATTTAATGATACTAAGATTTAAATGTACTCTCCTTTAGTTAATTCTTTAATGATATTTATACCTGTTGACAGGTGCGTGACCTGGTTACTGTGGTGATACCACTTCGTGAGGTGGTACTGGTAGAGAAGGTGGACAATGCAGCCAGTGGTGAACTAGGAACTGATGCCTTGGTGGTCACTACTAAGGGGAAGGTATTATAAGATAGCTTATTTATATGTATACATCAATATTTGTTAGTTCATATGGTATGGTAAATTTTTAGCTCACCTGCACAAATGTCCAGCTAGTGTATTGTACCCCTTTTTAGGTCACCTGAGTAAACTCAGGTGACCTATTGCTATCCGTTTTCGTCTGTCGTCGTTCGTCGTGCGTCGTGCGTCGTGCGTTAACATTTGAACATTTTCAGCTTCTTCTCTGCAACCACTGAACCAATTTCAACCAAATTTGGCACAAAGCATCTATGGGTGAAGGGGAACAAAAATTGTAAATTTCATGATCCCTGCCCCCCTGGGGCCTGAGGGGTGGGGCCAAAACCACTAAAATTAATGCAATCTTTAAAAATCTTCTTCTTTACTCCTGGACATCAAGCAATCGAACTGTTTGCATGATTGTAATCAGCATTGAGTCCTCTACCAAAATTGTGAAATTCATAGCCCTGGGGTCAGGGGTTCTAGTGCTAGGGCGGGGCTAAATAAGTAGGTAGTGAAAATGCATTATTTCTTTGAAAATCTTCTTCTCTGCTCTTGGGTATTAAATAAACCAACTAAGTACATAGTTATGATGAGCAAGAGTGCCTCTATCAAAATTGTGAATTTTATGGCCCCAGGGTCAGGGGTTCTGGTGTTAGGGCGGGGCTCTATTGATTATATAGTGAAAATACATTATTTCTTTGAAAATCTTCTTCTCTGCTCCTGGGTATTAAATAAACTAACTAAGTACATAGTTATGATGAGCAAGAGTGCCTCTACCAAAATTGTGAATTTTATGGCCCCAGGATCAGGGGTTCTTGTTTTAGGGTGGGGCTCTAATGATTATATAGTGAATTGCATGAATTCTTTGAACATATTATCCTTTGCTCCTGGTTAATATGCTAATGATCTAAATACATATTTAAGGCCAGGATTTATTTTATTTTCAGTTGTACAAAGCCTCCGCTCAAGGTTTTGAATTTTCAGAAAAAAATAAAAAATTTTTCTTTCCGATGTCAAATATGAGTCGGGATCGAGATTTCAAATTTACGAACTCGCACTTCCGGTTTTAAACGGCGGGTAAATAAATCTACATAGTGTAAAATTCATCGATACGAGTGCCATTCAAAACGTTTCACCCGTTCAAAGGACAAATAAAATGCTGACGACTTTGTTGCACAATGACATGCTGGTGAGATAATTATGTATTCGTTTCAAGTTTCTGTCTGTAAATTATTTTCCTCCCCCAGGTTTTAAACTGCCTGTGGTAGCTATTGCATATTGCCAGCGACATTGTTTAGGTCTCTGTCATAGCTTACAGTCTAAGCATCATTCTTCAGATAAGGGTTGCTTATGCATCAGATGTAATGAATAAAACTATGGGAGAAGTAAGTCCATTTGAGGTCAGAAGAAATGAACAATAACCTGAAGAAATAAAAAAAAATTCAACTATTAAGGCAAGAATATACAAATATATACAGGCATGTAGTATCATTTGTATCAGCCAGAGAAATTATTTTACACTTAATTGAAAAAATGTTCACCGTACTCTCCAATACTCCCTGTCTGTTTTATGATAGGAATTATAATTTTAGGCATCAAGTAAATTTTAGAACAATGTCTACACATTCACCTAACACATATTAAAAAAAATGAAGATATATTGAAAGACTTTTAAAGAATTGATTTTTTAAAATATATTTTGACCAACATCACAAAATTTATATAACTGGCCCAAACTGGCAGATGATGAAATAAGCAATTAAATGTTCTACTTTCCTATTTGTAAGCATTATGTGTCCAGTGGTAAGGAGCCTATTAGAATAGCATAAAAAAAGAATGTACAATTGATTTATCCAAAATTTTTTTTTTATTTCCTTTTCCTTCGAGACTTTTTTATTCTCATGTTCATAACTAAACCTAAACATAAAAAAAAATGCTGGCCTTATAATGAAGAGAGGGGCCTCTTTCAAAATAGATAAATTCAGGGCCATTTGGGTCAGGGGTACCATGGGGGTACTTTGACTAAAAATAAATTAATGCTTTGAAATCTGCCCTTTGATAAGCAATGGTGCCTCTTTCAAAATTTGTGAATTTCATGGCTTTTGGATTAAAACACGAACCAAATACGATCGCTGGAAAGTTGTTACATGATACTCAGGTGACCTATAAGGCCCGTGGGCCTCTTGTTTTCCAAAATGATGGATATTTATTTGGGCTGCCCAAAAATCTGTCTGTATAACTGTATTTCATTCTGCCTGTCTATAACATTTAATCTGATACTAGATAATATCTCTTAAAGTTGTACTTTTCATCAAAAAGATATTTCCAAATAATTGGCAAAACACTGTCAGACTAATTATGGGAAAATTATTTGGCCTATAAACATCAAACTTAGAAAGAAAATACATCTAAGGTAAAAGGTGTGTTGCATCCTACATTAAGGACTCTTTGACCTGTAATGCAGATAATATGGCCAAATATAATCAAACTCTGTCTTGTTTGTTATCGGAAAATTATTTAGCACAGGAAGATAAAATTGGACAGATATTGCATTTTAAGAAGAAGCTGTGACAAACTTTTTATAAAACTTCAATAAAGGTGATTTAAAAAAAAATAGAGAGGTCTTTTCTACCAATGCTTAAGAGTGATGCAGAAACCTTTGTGAAAAATTAACACCAAGAAACAAGAGGTCCAGGGGCCTTATAGGTCACCTGAGCATCATGAAACAACCACCAACAATTTGAATTTTGTACATGTTGTAAACCAGAGGCCATGACATTCACAATTTTGAAAGAGGCACCATTGGTAATCATAAGTACACACTAAGTATGCTTAGTTTAGTTACTTAATAGTAATATCCATAGGCAGAGTAGGGGAACAAAAATGCATTTATAGTAAACAGTAATATTGGACTATAATCAGTAGTGCCCCCACACCACAAAAACCCCTGACCTTAGCTCCACACATCATACAATTTTGGAAAATTTAAGGCACCTTTGCTCATCATAAAAATTTGATTACTATACCAAGGAGCAGATATCAAAGCATAATTCATTTTCAGTATATAATCTTTAGAGCTCCCCTCTATGCCCCACTCCTCAGGTCCCAGGGGGGCAAGGAGCAAGAAATTTACAATTTGTGTTCCCCTTCTCCTATAGATGCTATATGCCAAAATTGGTTCAGCGGTATCTGAAAATGTTCAAATGTTAATGGAACCAGAGAGCTTTAGTTTAAAAATTTGCAGCTTATATTTTTTAATTCAAAAATTTTTTAAAAATAAATTTACAAGGGAGATTTTCTTATATTTTTCAGAACAACTTCATATTCTCTCAGCTTCCTGTACGAGAGTTTATTCTGCAGAAGCTTTCGGATTTCTTGTCCAGAGTTGAGGAGCCCTCAGACAAGAGGTACCAGTAAATGAATTCAAAGTTACTGTAAGGGATCAGTATAAAGTGAACAAAATTGTCTATTGATTTTTTATGCATTAATTGTCAATTTACTGTTGTAGTATGTCATTTGGCTGTATATTCTATTTTAAGTGTCTTTGGAGGAAAAGCAGTTTTTACTGAAAACAATATGTTTTCCATATATTGAACAAATAGCAATAAGGAGGGGGGGGATTACCTTTGGGCTCTGTTCCTAGTCTTGCATTCATTGTGCCTTCTATTTACTAAATTAAAGTTATCTCTAGCATTGTATATTTATTGACAGGGTTTAAGAGCAGCGTGGGTTTTGTCAGACCCTAGAACTAAACTGTTTGCATGAGACCTAATGCAACAGTCTGGTTCGACAGTCAACCTTTTACTTTTTATTTTTATATCTGAGATATATCATGATGTAAATTTCGTTTAAACTTGGTCCATTAAGGACATACACAAGGTACCTTACCTACTGATAATTTTTTAAGATATTCTTAATTTAAGATTATTGTGCTATCAGATGTTCATAGACAAAAAATCAGCATGCATTACCAGGGTTTTTTGGAAGATATCAAATTATGAAAATTTTTGCATTGTTCAAAGAAAAATATACAAAAATTACATAACATAATTTTCAGATTTTTTCCATCAAAATTTGTTTTAGAAGAGGTCTACAAATCCATATATAGACATTAAAAGTATTGCAAACAGATCTTTCATTTAGTGGAACTCTTCAACTCCAGGGAAGAGCCCAGTAAAATTCAAACTGTGTTGCGTATGACCTTAAAGTAAAGTTCTCAAATTCAATAATTTTTGCTTCAGAGAACTAATAAAGATGATTATAATAAAGTCTTAGAACTATTTTACACAGGTTTGACTTCAATGAAAATTTATAAATTCTACTAGTAGATGTTTGTATCAACTATGATTACTACAAGTCTTTGTTTCAGTCCTTCAAGACAGAACTCAGCCTGTGATAGTGTCACCAGTTCTCCAGGTTAGTGCCTAAAGATTCCGTGAAGACCATCAGTCTCTAAGGAACAAGTATCATGCTTTTTTTGTCAACTTCGTCTTATTTTCATAAGTCTGTTAGAAGTATTATACACAGGGGAATACTTGATATCGTGATTACTTAATTTACTTGAACTCTTTCGCGATGGAGGTAGGAAACGTCTGTTGCATGTGGGCAAATTTGCTATAGAATAGACGAATTTCACATTCCTGAGAGTTATCTCCCGTTGTCGGCGTAATGCTCATTTTTCCCTCTTTGTCCTTTGTAAGTTACCTGTTGATATTTTTAAAATTCAAACGTTCTATGACAATTTCGATCTGTACCTGTATTGCCATAGTATGGGGCAACATAAAAAACATAATGAGCATGTTCATATAGATTTTATTTCTAGGATACTGACCCATAAAGTTGGTAAGGTTATAGAAGGAAAACAGCGTCTTACGCCGGTTGACCCCGGATTGACCCCGCAAAGGGGAATAACTTTTGTAAATGTGAAAGTCTCTATACAATGCAAGATCAATCATTATAGAATTCATAAGGACAGATAAGTACATGTAAATAATCCTGGTGGAATACCTTGCTAAACAATCGCTGAACCAGCCTAATAAATTTTTGAGAGGAGCTAATCCTAAAATGTTACCCTTTTTACGTTATTTTTAACTAAGCAGACTCTTCTAATTAAATTTTCATAGAAATTTAAATTGTCACATTTCAAAGCTGATAAACGATTCTAAACTTTCTTTATTTGACAGTATACTATTTGGAGTTCAATCCTTGGCAATACCCCCGGTATATTGTACTTTCGGAATAAATTGTTCTAATCATTTGATTGTCACTACTGTAAACAATGTCATGTGCCCTAGAAATCTTGTGGGATTTAGAGCTTTCTTGACTCCTCTGCAAAAGAGTTGTAGTAAGTTAGATAACTGCGAGGTACTCGTAATATTACGTATTTACCTTCCATTCAGTCCTCTGACTAGTTTGTTTTTTATATATATTTTTTTTAAATAATGTTTGATTGCATGGAATTCAGTACTGTATACATGGTATATGCAGGCAAAAGTCTTCAGCTATCAAAATTAAGTAAAATGAAATTTAAAGAGAAATAAGAGGGAATTAAGCTATTTAAGTCATGATTCTCAGAAAGGTATCATACATAAAACTTAAAATACATTGTAACTTCCTTTGCTCTGAGTTCTTGATCTCTCAAAGAAAGTCAATTCCAATTTTCCCTTAAAATCTATCGTACAACATGTACAAATTTGATTCCATTCTTCTTTTTGAATATATTTTTTTTTCTGTTCAAATTGTTTGATGACCTATACTCACTAATGAAAAAACACAATTGATTCACACTTCCTTCACAATTTGTAGCTGATGACATCCAGTTCCAGCCAGCTTTGGTCAGCTTGTTTCACAGGAGGCATTCAGATGAATTGTCTGCGAGAGAAACCGTCAAAGAACATCTGTGGGATGTTCATTTCTCAGAATACGGCAGGTGGGATATTTCTATAGCACAAATCTTCAGTTCTTTTACTCAAGACAAAGTTCTCAATTTCAATTCAGTTCTTGAAATTGCTGAAAAAAGTTCAAAATGTTTAATATTATTCCTGTAAGATTGGGTTCGCTTAATACATACATGTACCAACACCTGTGCCAGCAACAGATTTAAGTATCTATTGAATGAGGTTGGTTTTGTTTTTCCCATACATGTAGATGTATTAATGTGTATTTTTAGGGGTGTATGTATGTACAGAACCCACAAGACCCAGGACCTTATTTTACAAGGACTGCCAGAAAAGTTTAGAGGGGAGATCTGGATGCTGTTTTCTGGTGCCATAAATGAGGTACAGCAGGAATTTTAAAATTTGTCTACTGTCTGTGGAACACGGATGTGTGGTCAAGTTAACAAGTAGGAAATCATGGATTGAATCTCTCGTTTTCAGTTTTCTTGTCCATCTGTTTTAATAAGTATTGTACAGAAATGACCACATTAGAAGTGTTTTCTTCAAAAGAAACTTTATTATTAGGCTATCTAAATTTAATTCTCTCGTTCTCAGGCCAATTTTCTCCAAAACGGAGGCATTTTATTTATCATTTTATTGGCAATAAAGTAGATGAGGGAGGTATTTTTAGCTCACCTGAGCCGAAGGCTCAAGTGAGCTTTTCTGATCAAAATTTGTCTGTTGTCTGTCGTCGTCCTCTTCGTTGTTGGCGTTGTTGTAAACTTTTCACATTTTCATCTTCTTCTCAACAATCACTGGACCAATTTGAAACAAACTTGCTACAAAGTATCCTTTGGTAAGGAAGATTCAAGTTTGTTCAAATGAAGGGCCACTCCCTCTTCCAAGGGGGGATAATTATGAATTAGTGAAAAAATAATGTCATTTTTAAAAGAACCACTGGGCCAGGAAAGATGAAACTCATGTTGAATCATCCTCAGGTAATGTAGATTCAAGTTTGTTCAGATCATGACCCCCGGGGGTAGGGTGGGGCAACAATGGCCGATCAAAGTTTTACATAGGAATATATAGGAAAAATCTTTAAAAATCTTCTTCTCAAGATACCGGTACATAGAGACAGAAAAGATGAAACTCATGTTGAATCATCCTCAGGTAGTGTAGATTCAAGTTTGTTCAAATCATGACCCCGGGGGTAGGGTAGGGCCACAATAGCTGATCAAAGTTTTACATAGGAATATATACAGAAATCTTTAAAAATTTTCTAGTGATATTTATATTGAAGCATCCTCAGGTAGTGTAGATTCTAATTTGTTCAAATCATAACCCCCAGGGATGGGGTAGGGCCACAAGGGGGGATCCAAGTTTTACATTAAAGCAATATGAGCTGCATTTTAGAGAAAATAATTTTGCTGTCTAAATAGGCTATTATGATAAATCTGTATGTAATATGAACCATTATGTTTAATAAGATTGATATAAAGAATTATTTATGTTTTCAGAAGAAAGATTTCCACAAAGAAATATATAATATTATATAAGAAATCAATATTGTACAGGACGACAATGTAATTTTGCTTCAATCAAAGCATATAAATAGTTTTTCTGTCTGAAATATAAAGGATAGAAGTTTATAAATGTTCTTTTTTTCTGTCATTTGAATAGTTAATTACAATATTAGAACAAAAATTTCCAACATCAAACTTGCAGCTCATATTGCTTTGAAATATATTTTTAAAAAAATATTCTAAAGAATAGCAAAGCCATGACTAGTGATATTTATATGGAAACATCCTCAGGTAGTGTAGAATTAAATTTGTTCAAATCATAACCCCCAAGGGTAGGGAAGGGTCTCAATGGTGGATAAAAATTTTACATAGAAAAATAAAAAGAAAAATCCCAATAACAGAAAAGCTATTTTTATTCATATTGACATTTAAGCATCCTCATGTATTGAAGATTTAACGTTGTCCAAGTCATGAGTACCCTATGGTGTAGGGAGGGAAACAATGGGGAGTCAAATTCAAATTATTACAAAGTAATTTATACAAACAAAATGTAAAAAAAAAATCTTTTTTCTCAAGAACTTTCTCAAGAAGTTATATGCAGTACATGTATTGATATGGAGGCATTCTCAAGTAGTATTAGAATTCAATCCCCCCCCCACCCCCTCAGTAAACTTTTCAGTTCTGATCTGATTTGTGCTTTTTCCTAGCCAATTTGCTCAGGTGAGCGATGTGGCCTTTGGGCCTCTTGTTTTTAATTTTAATTTACGAATTTTCTTTAAAATAAAGATAATTTTTTATTCATATTTAGATATTTAGACATTTTAGATATACTTCCCATTTTTGATCATAGTCTGGTCCTGATTTTTAAAAAGAAGGCTAGAAATAACTTCTAACGGCAAATAATTATTATTTGGTCCAGCATAGTTTTTTAACCTATTTTGAGTATGCTGAATCTGAATAAATATGCTGGCTTTCATGAAAATGACGTTAAAGAGGTCAAAATGGCGATTCAAAATGGTGGACATCCAATTTTTCTAATTTTCTCTTAATATCGTTCAAAAAGGAGAAATAATGAGTGAATATTTCACTGAGTGCAATAAAAGTATAAAAATGATAATAGAATGCTAATATCATTAGTTTAAGGTAGTCCGATCCTCAGGTTTATAAAATAAGCAGTTAAGTAATCAAAAATACTCATAAAAGTATCTCTGAATCCACAAAGTTATGTTAATTTATCCACAGTATTTCTTTTAAGTTAAAGATTAAAGTTAATCATATTATGTAGGGAAAATCCTCAAATCTCCAATATTTTTGCAGAAAAAGCGAATATGGATTACCAGCTATGCATTTTCTAATTGCAAATTGATCAACAAATATATTTTAGGTTAAAAAACGATAGGTATCCAGGCATTCAGAGAAATTGTCATGATTTTTATACTTTTTTGGTAATTTTTGTCTTGAAGTTCTATTTCCGTCATGTATTCTGTAATACATAGTGTAAAAGGCTTTTGCTATCATTGCAAAACACCAAAAATCACTTCTCATTTCATATCATGCTAATAATTATTGGTATCTAAGGCTGGATTCAAGAAAATCTTATTTCGCTAAAACTATAATAATTTTTTTTCCTTTTATAGGGTACAAATGTCAACTTTTATAAGACCTTTTTTAAGACTTCAAAAAACCTTGAATCTTATGAAGATGAATATAATGAAAATTGTTGCATGAAAAAATTTCATTTTCAAGCTTCATTTTGATGCATTTCAAATTAGGCTATCTAAATTTAATTCCCTGGTTCTCAGGCCTATTTTCTCCAAAACAGATGCGGGAGGGCGGCATTTTATTTTTCATTTTATTGGCAATAAAGTAGATGAGGGAGGTATTTTTTTTAATTTTAATTTCCGAATTTTCTTTAACATAAAGATATTTTTTTTAATCACAGATATACTTTCCATTTCTGGTCAAAATTTCTGCTTTATCCACTGCTTAACAGCGTGTAAACATCGTAGGTAATGTCCTAGAATGTACTTTCAAGCGAAGTAGCCAAAATCTCATTGTAAATGGCTACCGGAAGTGATATTTGAATACTAAACTACGAAACAAATGAGGTCGGAATTTTTTTTCCCGGATTGGTCTCCGCAATACCAACTTTTTATTTTATCAAAAATTCAATAAAATCGGCAATGCGGCTACCTCAAAACGGATGCGCGCGGGCCTGAGAACCAAGATTTCAATTTTATATGGCCTTAAATATGAATTTTTGGAGTTATCCTTCCTGGCTGAGGATCGGATGTCCTTAAATCAGAAAAATTATTCGTTTCTACACTTAATTCGAATTTTCTCTGATTTTTTTTGTCTATTGTTTCTATATTCTTCTTTGTTCAGGATTTTACATTTGCAAATATCAATACACTGCAGATTTGTATTTTTCTCTGCATCTCACTATTCTACAATTGAATGGTGGTACAGCTGTAAGTTAAAAGTCAAAATGGTGATTCAAAATGGCGGATATTCATCTTTTTTTTCTTCAAATTATTCAATTCGATCATTATGTCATTTACGTAGGAGAAAGATTTGTGAATATCTTACTGAGCGTAGTACAACTATGTAAAATACCAATAGAACACTAATTTGATCACTTTTAATTGGAAAATTTAGTCGTTTAAATTTGAAATGTATTAATAAGCTCAGAATGGCAATTCAAATGAAGTCATACACTCGAATTTAGTAAAATACCCAAACTGCTTAATTCTGGTTCATTTTGCAGAAAATAAATTACAGTTCGTTTTTTTATTCATGAAATAATGTTCAAATATGCAATGAAAGTTGGAGGATATTTTTGTTAATGATTTAGGATTTTTATAACGCAGATTTTTGTTTAATTACATGTACTTCTATTGTTAAGATAAATTTTTGACGACAATTCCGAAGACATTTTACCTATTACCTGTCTCACCATGCTTCTTCATATAAAAAGTTAATAATATCATACAATAATTGCTGTTTTGAGGACAATATGAAAATTAAGCTATCCCTTGAAGAGCAGTATTCCCCGAGCATTAAGGCGAGTGAACATTCAGTTGTTGTCTAGTGCAACATAACTTAGTATGGTTTTTAAAATGATGGATCACGTCCGATTAGATGGCTAGTAATTGTTACATCATGTAAATCTGAATACAATGTATATCCAAATATAAACATTTATTAAGAATTATTATATGCGGGAAGATATAGAGTAATCGGTATGTCCGTCCTTCCATCTGTTCCGCTTTGGGGTACCCATCTCTTATCCGCAACTCCTCTCATATCACTGAATGAAATTTGATAAAACTTTCACAGAATCTTTATCACATATTGCCATTGCGACCTCCTATTTTACTTTTTGATCAGACACATATTTTGGGTTTTCAAAAGCAAAACATGGACACTGTCATTATATTCATATGGGACGGGGGTATCATTTAGTGAGCTAATTGCTCAAAGTACCTCTAGTTCATTTTGCATTAGATTTTGGAAAACAAAATAGACTTTTAACATTTGAACATAAATGTGTTGTTGCTTGAGTGTAGGTTGATTGATTGTATATTGTTTAATGCCGAGTCGGCAATTTTTCAGCCATGTTTCGGCAGACTATTAGTTTAAATAATCGGTTTTTGAATGCTTTTGTTTTCTCTGGTGCCCCCAGTAAGCTTACTCTTTTTCGAACTCCAGAGAAACGATCTTTTTACCTGCCAAGGGGGTTGTCATTATTGACACGGGGCACCATTTTACTTGAGTGTTGAAAATACCAAAATTCCGAAGACGTAGCAAATAAAGCTGGAATAGAAGATGTTAGGGGATAATACTAAGTTCTTGTATGTGCTAAAAATCTAGAACAAA